ACATCACACACCAGAGAAAATGCTGAGGGGGATGTTTTTTTCTCCTTTAGCACAAGCATTATTTAGCTGTAAACGATACCCACACACTTAAGCACAGACTCCCACACAAAGACTGAGGGATGTTGTACACAAACACAGATGCAAAAACAACACACACAAGAGGAGAGGAAAAACAGGATAGTTAGGTGAGTTGTGAGTCATCCTTATGTTTTTCCTGCTTCAGCCCACACATATATTTATATCAGCTTTCTTTCTCGTTCTACATACCATATTCTCTTTACTTTGAAAAAAAAATCCATCCATATACACTTCTGACATCAGAATGGTGTCAATAAAGTTTCGTGTTTTATTGATTTCCTATATTTGACTTGAAGCACAAATGCATATATGAATAGTAAACACATGCACCTGTTCTTTTTCTCTTACATATCAGTGCTATATGCCACGTGTGCCATATTCTTTGACAAAGATTTGCTTGGACACTGGAACTGCCAACAGTACGTGAAACTGTGGCTTCTTGCCTGATGTTATCACTTCCTGTCACCTGTGAGTGATTTTATGATGACAAAAAAATAAACACTGTTGTTTTTCAAATTATGGCGCTGCAGTAAAAATCGCACCATCATTACACCATACAAGTCTCACCTTGTACTTTAAACTCTAGGGGTTTTTCTTGAGGACTGGATATTATTTATCCTCAACAGGCTTTGCTGTAAGAAAGTTGACATGCAACATTGGAAGGACGGTGACTCATTTTCCATATTCATGCGTAAATACAAAACACTACAGTCCAATTTTCATGTGAATTCTCATGCCAGAGCTCCCATTTGAGAGTGTGAGGTGCTGGCAATAGCAAAAGCAAATATATTCCATGTCCAAAGAATTTTCAATAAGGAGGAAGCAATTTGTGAATTTAAAAATAAAAAAACAGCCTAGTGCACTTTCAAATAATTGAGAGGTTTTTCTGTCAGAGTACTACATTCTGAAATATCTGTGTAACTACATTTTAAATCTCTGTGTCAAGCTCAAGCTTGGACGCTTTTGGTTTTATCCACATTACTAAAGAGATGTGCTTTAGGTTCAGTATGCAACCAACAGCCATTGTCTATACTCCAACCAGAGGTGTCAGGAAGACAGAGAGAGTCTGGATGTTGGGGCAGGCGGTTGTGGGTTTGACTTGACTGATCTCAGCCTCCTGCAAACTAAAGACCACTGGGCTTGACCCCAGCTGTCCCTCGGGGCATAAAAATCAAAGCTGAGGAACAGAATTCCACAAGACACATAAAAGCATATATAACATCACGCTGCTCAGCGTGTAGAAATCTGTGTGGAAGTGGATGTCCGTTAGCTTCAAGTCAGGCGAGGTCAGCACGGGGGCATGCCACTCCTGAACCGTAGCCAAAAATGTAAATTAGTTAGCTCAGACTTGTCAGCGTGATTGCTCTTTTGCTGACAGGACTGTCAAGAGCACAAGTGAAGTCAGCATTCTGCTTTCCATTAGCATTTCAATGCTGATCTGGGATTACGACTTACACGCTTTATTTCCACTGATAATCTGCTCTCAGAGAAGATTGCAATGGAAGAATTGGTAAGATGTTCACGGTATAAACAAGAAAAATTTGTAAAGTCACTAAAAGCTGCATCGCATTGGTTAAATGTGACATTTGACAGGTATGACATGGAAATACTACCTAAGTGAAATAACTGCTTTGTATATGATTGCATTAAAGGTTGGAGTGGTGACCAAGTTTTGCGTGCTTCAATCCTTCAGCCTACATATTGTACAGATAGCTTTAGTTGACAAGGAGGAACCATTACTGAATAGGACAATCAATCAAAGCTTCAAATCAATCAAAGCTTCCCAGTGTCAATAAACTGCTGTCATCAAGCAAGACATTGCCTTCCGGGTGATGGTTGCCCTTCACCTGTCCCTGACCTGAAAGCATTCGTTCATACCGGTGCTTTGCATAGGCACTGTCTAAACACCATGCACAACAAAGTCTGCTGAATACCGAACGTAAAGCTGGATCTTATCCTGGTGACACAGAACTCCTGCCATGCATCCTTGACACCGAACTACCCACTGTTACAATGAATATAAGTGGTCAGCTAAAGTACTATAGCAAGCTCTTAATCAATGACCTGCTAGTTATTTATGAACCCCATATGCTTTTCTATTTCCCTCTCTCCTCAAAACAGGATCGATTTCAAGTGCAAGTGTGTAAGAAAGAATCCTGGATCTCAGTGCAAAAGTTTATGCCATCAACAAGAATAAACAACTATTACTAGTAACTGCAGTAGCAGTCCTATTGAGTCATTAACATTAATAAACTGTTTTCATATATGTGAACTGCAAAGCTTCTCAGATGTGAGGACTGCCAGCATTTTTGTCGTATTTAATACAAATGTGGATTCTAAAAAAAGAAAAATTTGCTTTACAAATTTTTGAGATAAAATCAAAACCAATCAACCTATAAATTAAATAACTGACCAATTACTCAGCAATGAGAAAATCTGTGCCCCTAGTTGATCCTTAAGATAATTATAAATCACTACTTTACAGGCACGCTGACCAGTGTGCTAATCTCTACAAAAACCTGGAATACCTCCCTTTGCCAGAGGGACAGAAAGAAGGGAGCGAGATTGGCAGTTAGCTGGCAGGCATGTCGGTTGAGTGTTAGTGTGTTGGCGCTGCAGCCAAAGATACCACTGAGTGTCTATCTTCTTTCATACAGGGAGCCTTTCCCACTTTCTCTGTCTCACACAGACACAAACAAGCACGGAGCATTACATCAAACTCCGAATGTGACAAAGGAGGACTGCCTGTGTGTGTGTGTGTGTGTGTGTGTATAACTGTCCAGGCTGACTAAGTATCTTTGTAGGAATCAGGATTAGGTTGCCTCACTGACACACAAGGCTTATGTAAAGCTGACCCACAATGCGAGGCGCCACACGTGAATGTGAACTGCCAGGTTGCAGTGCTATTCCCATCCTAACTGGCACCTCAAACGGTATTGTCACTCTTACAGCCAAATGAAAGTTTTCAGTTTTGCTTATTAGATCCGATCAATTTTAAGAATGTTTCTGCACACTTATTGGCTGAGATTACAAACCACAGCCCTGCAATATATACATGTAAGACAACAAATACTTTACTTAGAATTCTTTCAATATTATTTCCAACAACTTAAACAGGGGTGACATTTAATACCGAAACCATCAACCCTTCTTTTTACACATTTGAGCCAAAATGCTTAATTAACCTCATAATTTCAGCTTCAGTTTACTCTCAGTTAATCTGAGATTTCGACAATAGAAAGACAATTAGACTTTTTTTTTTTGCTTGTTTGTTTTAATACATATACTTCAACGTCAACTGGTTATTTCAGCAAAAAAAGGGCTATCACTAGAAAGATTTTGCATCAGAGGTCAACTTTCCGGCTAAACACAATCAGAAACGCAATCAGTAAACTCAGACTGTTTACCTTCTCATCAATACATAAAGCCCATATAAAAGGAGTCATTTATGCTAAAATAAACACATCATTAATCACCAATGCAAAGGCAATGTGTCGATATTAATGCAATTTAAAGGAAGCAAATCATAACCTTTACTTCACAAAGAAAAAAAACAGAAGGCATGTTACATATGTTCCAGTTTTGTTGCTTTTTGGCCTTTTTTTCTCCAGAATATGTCAAAGTATAGATCCAAACATGGAGTAAGCTCTTGAAATGTTCCTCTTGTCCTCTTTGCCATAGAGATATAAGGATGTGATGGCTGAAGCATCTTGAGAAAGCTGAATTTACGTCCAACAGGCAAAATGTAGACCTAGGTGGAACGACCAGCCGGGTCCTTCACAAACATGAAAGCATGAGCCCCATCCCTCACCAAGGAGGAGCTCACAGCAGCCTCCCTGGCTGTGCATGACTCAATATATGGCAGCCTCATCCTGAATGCATCAGGCATTTATATGTATGTGTGCACAAACTGTAAATGGACTTGATGGAGGAAAATCAATAGCCAGTGCCTGTATGTAAATGAGACTGGACTGAAGCCTATGTACTGTGTAAGGAACCCATCATGTATGAGCTTACTTAATAGCCATTTCAGTATGAAGAAAAAGACCTCTGAGGTGTAACAGCCCTGGCTTTTTTTTTTTAAAGTGTTATTTGTTGTGCTGGGTTTAATAAAGACATCAAGTCTTTCAAAATGCCTTTAAATGAAATAAACTAAACTGTAATCTAACATTAAATGCAGTGGCGACGGTGACAACAACAGACATGCACATACAAGGCTTCAATTTGTGAGATCAATCAGGGGAAGGACCCGCCAATATGACTCAGCACCTGTTTTTTTCCTTTTGCACCCCCTTTTTCCTTTCTGGGGTGATTGGAAATTAATGTCATATTTCTCTAGGGATTCCCTCTGATGATTTTATCACAGTTACCTACAGCTTTCCGAAATGTGTTATAGGCTTACTAAAGCCCAATAGCCTTGCACTGCCACCGCAGCAAGCCAAGTTCCCGCAGTCACCGCAGTAGGTGAAGCCTTTAAGTAGCACAATGCAGACATTATTCCTGAACCCCATCAAAAAATTAAAAAGTGGATCAATTAGGTCAGTCAGTGTGGATTCTACCTATCTTGGGATTCTGATTTCTAGATCTATTCCTAAGATGTGATTTATTATCGGATGAATTTCGCAGCATTTTTCATCTTAAAACCGGCTCACACCACAGCTCAGACAGCACACAGACTCACAGGAGCCCAGATTCACTTCTCCTTCGGACGAACAATGCGTCCTTTTTCCATCCACACAGACACAGAGGGGCACCTCATCATTTCAGCTTCAGCTCACTGAAATGTCAATTTACTGCTGGGTGTAAGGACTTCTTTTTCTAGCCATTCAATGTCGCATGCTTTTTAAGTCGCTGCCAATCGCAATATATTATGCTGCATTAAAACGATGCTGTTAAAAGCAAAGAAGTGTTAAATTCTTTACCTGTTCGGCGTAGTGTCTTCCAGAGGAACTCCCGGTCTGTCGGACACACACAGGCTCAGCAACCTACATTTACCGTAATGATCCTACTAGTCACGCCGATAGACTGCGTCGGTGTTTAAACTAGCCATTACGGTGTTCTGGTGTACCCTTTGCTAGAAATTACCACAGAGGTGGAGCAGCAACAAACTGTACCGACGCGTTTCAGGTTAAACGGAAGTGTAAAACCTACTGTGTTGACGTAAAGGTACAACGCCAGCAGGTATTGCAAAGTAAATAAGGCTGGCGAAATGTCGTCTCGTCAAGTATTACGTTCTTTAGGTTGCTATGGCAATAAATCAGTATAAAGGCACACGTGCAGTTCGGGGCATGGGTTAAAAATACTGCATGAAAAATAGTTTGGCTTCCCAGAAACAATGTTCTTAATGAAGAATCACTTCCCATCTGTTACTTGTGGTCATCCCAGTTCAACAGTAAGTATTTTTTATTTATTTATTTTTTACACATGGTAAATCGGTATTCAGATATTCTTTGATATAAGAGCGCCTCCCAGAGTGCAAATGCTGTAGTTACAATCTGCTTTTCATAGTTCAGTGCACACATCTTCCCCCCTTTTCATTGGGTTAATAATCTGCTTATTCGTTTATAGGGTTAGGGTTAATTTTACTCAGTTGATGTAGAGCTCATGGAAACAGTCTATGTGTATGCATTATATTGTTCGTTGACTTGTGTAGTCTTCTAAGAAGCAATATGGCCCCCATGTGGATACAAGAGGTTCTTTTTGCCTGCTATTGAGATCAGACAATCCTACTACTATTGCACTGATGTGACACTTCGAGCTCTTCTTCAGTTTTCAAGGAGAGACAAGGTCTCCCACTTCTCAATTGGAAGTGAGTGCAAGCGACCATGATAGTTTTACGTTTTTTTTCTGCTGACTGCAACAAAGAGTGTTGTAATGCTGTGTGACCAAGGAGGGGGATCTTAAAGAATGAAAAGATTTACCTCAGCTGACACCCGAAGCCATGTGAAAGCACAGATGAGCCCTATTCACCTCTATGAACTTGGAATCATCCAGTTATAATCTGTAAATTAATTTAATGAAATCCAAGTTTCGATTTCTAGAATCTTAGCACCAAATCCCCAGTATAAAGCAGCTGACATGCATACAGTATGTGAGAGGGATGACCTTGACCACCATCTGCCCATTGCCTCCTTCCCAGGTCGTTATAAGAGGAAGCTATGCATACGGGATCAAAAATACCAGCTGTTTCACTTTAAGACTGTGGCCTTAAAAAGTGACGACCTCCATAAAGGTAAATCATCCAATCCTGAAATGATCACATGTTTGTCATCAGCTTTTATATTATCTTATTTAAGTAGACTTGGCGAGAATTGCAGACATCCTTCACATTATTGAAATTAAAACCTCGGAGCTCTCAACTGAAGAGACGCCTCACTTGACTTGTTCGTTTTCAGACTAATGGGCACTGACAGCTTGACAAGCAATGATGTGCAATATTCTAATTTCAGATTTTCTATGTCATGACCCAATTACACAGGCAGCTTGTTTTCTACCTCATCTCCCTTCTGTCGTTTTACATTTTTGCTCCTAGTTAAACTGAAATCCTTCCACACACCTGTTGGATTTTCCAGTAGTGACAGGCTGCAAGAATCCTGAAAGGAAATAATTTTTCAGATTTTCAAAACACCGATATTACTGGGGGGCACCTCAGTCCAGCCATGTGCAGACATTATCCCTGAATTTGACCACATATTCAGGGGGATTAAAACATAGTATTTTTAGGTGTATTGCTCTTATTGCTCCTATGTGTGCAAATAATAGGGCACTGCAAAAAGAGTTTTAAAAGAACAAAACAAACAACAAAAAAGAATAAAATATTCAGCAACTGCAGTACCACAAGTAAAAATCAGACATTTTAAAATGATGCATGTATTCACCTTTTCATTGGGTCTTATTGGTGATCTTGGTTAGGTTGCATCCTTCTTTTCCTTTCCATTGTTTACCTGGAAACAGCTTGCCTGAATGTGATTAGTTGCTCAAATTTAGACCACAGATGGACTACAAACTGTCTACAGATATGTGGATATGAATATACAGATATCTTTTTATGAAGATTTGAGTGGACCCCGAATCAAAGCATAGCCCCAAAAAACAAAAGCCCAGTAGGAGTCGTTAGTGCAGCTTCTCAATCCAGGAAAAAATAGCAGCCATGTCCCTTTGCTACAGATCTGATCACTGAGATAACTATGGAAGTAGAGCATGGCATCTATATTGGAAAGTTTTATATTTTCCAAATACATTTTCTTTTTTGTGGAAAAAAAAAATACAAAAAGGACAGCATCTTCAAACAGAAAGCACAAGTACACCAAGTAAAAGTTAAAAATTAAATAAAAAGTTACTAAACATATCCTATATTTACATTTTAAGACAGCTGTAGAAATAAATAGCGTTGACAGATACAAACATGAAAGAAACGTGACACTACTGCATGGGGGCCCAGCCCTGGAGCAGGGTGCTGCCGGTGCGTCGAGCCACCTGGGGGGCTCTTCAACTGGTGGGGGAGATTGTCACATCTTGCAGGAGCTTTCCTCTCCTCAGGAGCTCCCTCTGCAGGAGGGGGAGATACAGGAGAGGTGGAGGAAGATCTCAGCCTGGGTGTTTATTGTCTTATGTAGTCTGGAAGATGAGTGGATGGTGGGGTGGGTGCAGTTTTCTCTGTGGTGGGTTGGGTGGACTGTCCCGGGCTCTGTGGGGCCGGGCGGCGCTGCTGCACTGGGCCCCGGTCTGGATGGGCCTGGGCCCCCTTTCCCTGGCGGGTCGGGAGTATGGGGGTGCCTACTGGGGTCAGCGGGGGAGCTGGCCCAGGGAGGGGTCACATGCCCCCCCTTCCTTCCCTCCCCATCTCCAGCTGCCTCCCTCTTCCCGCTCCACCACAACCACCCACACATGCAGGGCCTTGGAGTAGGGGTATGTCACCAGGGTGCAGAGGAGGCCACCCCCCCCCCCCCCCCCCCCCCCCCCCCCCCCCCGCCCCCCCCCCCCCCCCCGTCCCCTTCTGGCTGCCTCTGCCTCAATTTTATCCCACAACTTAGACATTCACATTACTCACACTCTCATTACACATACATATAGGATCTTTGGGGTTGGCACGATACACGGAGTCCAAAGTACCATCAGGGTATACACCCCACCCCTGGCATCGTTGCCCACCTCTCAATGTTAAATACACGTAGACATTGAGGGTTAGCAGGAGGGACCATGCGCTTACCTGCTGCTCTCTGGCAGGTAGCTCCAAGCCCTCCTGGGTTTTAAATGCACCTTAGAACACACATGCATCAACACTACAATGAGCGGGTGGAGGGAGGTTTGGAGTCTTCTCTCACCCCCATTCTCTGCGACCTGCTGGAGCAGGGGGGCTAGGACTAGGAGGAGGAGTTGGCCGTCCGACTGCGGTCTGGAGTGTGGAGCCTTCCTGCTGCTGCGGAGTCGGGGCGGTCTGCCTCCCCCCACCGCAGGGAAAAGGGAAACACCACCTGGGTCTGGGTGCAGTTCCCCCCTCCAGGGGCGGGGGCACCTAGACCCGGTTTGTAGAGTACGCTTGGGGAGTGTGATCGTGTGTACAACGTCTCTTTATGTCTGTCTCCACGTTGGTTGAGTGTGGAGTAAGTGCATATGAGAGCATGAGGGTGGGAATGGATGTTTGTGTCTGTGTGTGCCTGTATGTCTGTGTCTATATGTCAGGTTGGGTGTCAGGCGCCACCTCTCTGGGGACATCTCAGGCCCTCCAAGGTTTGGAGGCCTATCTCCCCCTACCACCACTTCCCCTGCCAGTGGCGGACCCCCTCAGACGTCGGTGCGTTGGTGGTTCTTTGTGTCCGGGGATGGGCGTCCAGGTACACACCGGCTCACTCCTTGGCGGCCGCTTGTCGGGGCCTGGAGCCTGGGGCTTGCTCGGGCCACTTCGGAGGTGGGGTGCCCCCGGCCTCTCGGCCTGGGGCTCGGTCACTCAGGCGCAGCTGGCTGCCGGCGGAGCTCACGGGCGCGTCACTGCAACTCCCCCTGGCTTCTGCTCCGCGGCTGCTGAGTGAGCCCTCATCTGGGACTCTCCTCAGCTCTTTCCGGGACAGTGGCGCAGCTGCCCCTCTGGTGGTCTTCCTTGGTCTCTTGTGTTCTGGGGGCCTCTGGATGTCTGGAGTTTTGATCTCCTCCACACCTGCTTCATGCCCTGGAGGACGGGGCTGTGGCCCCCCCACACCCTCTAGCAGATTATTACATGAAGGAACCTTTTAAAAAACAAAAAACAAGCGCATCCATGCTCACAGGTGTACACACGGGTAATCACACCCACAAACTACACCCTTTTTGGCTCCTACCTCAAAGCACACTGTGTTCTGTTGATCTTATGTGCTGCACAATAATGTTTAACATTTAGTATTTACTGTCATATTCCCATATATCATTGTGATGTTGTTTATTCTATTACTCGTTCTCTTCTGCTTGCTTTCTTTTTTCTTTCTCAGCAGGTGACCCAGGTGATTGATATATGCATTTTTTTTTTCTCTGCCCGTTCTGTTGGTTTTGTCTTTGCCCTTCTCCCCGTCCCTCTTCTCAGCTGTTTCTCTTTCCCTCTTTCTTTCTCCCCTTCTTTCCCCCAGTCAAGTCTGTCCCGTATTCAGTAAGTGAAAATAAAATAAACAATAAAAGGTGAATCAAATGGACCATTACGGCAAGGCTGGGATGGTCAATTTGGTAAAGTAAATCCGTTGGGCATCTTTCTTTGCCTTTAGACAACAATTCTGATGGCAAAAGAGCCAAACGGGACAGGCAAAAAAAAAAAAAGAAAAAAAAGAAACGTGACACTACAGTGGAGTTGCTGATAGATATATTACTTTACATACAGTACCTCTTTTACATTAAAACCTGAAACTGCTGCAGAAGTTAAAACTACTGTGACTACTGTCACAACCCTAACAAAATAATCACTTTTGCCTAAAAAAAAAAAATGTAGTTTTTTTTTATTACATCAGATCACAATGCTCGTGGAATGTATTAAATATTCCCGGTAAGGTTCCTAGGGCACATGTTCTGCTCGTTGTCCCTGATGAGAGGAGATCTGGAAAAGAAATGATGCAAATATTAAATTAAGTGATAAAATACTGAAGGATGTTTTTCAGAGGCTTAACCTTCTAAAATACTCTTTGTACTCTTTATGAATGATCCAATAAATTAATAATTTGTGTGTTAAAGTCCAATCACAATAATAGTAATAATAATTTTATGTTATGAATGACATACTGGATAGATTAATCAAAGCACAGACAATTCAGTGTATGACTGGAATAAGTGGTTAAACAAATTAAACTTG